ATCCCCTGGAGAAGGGCATGGCAGCCCACTCCAGTATTTTTGCCCGGAGAATCCCATAGACAGAGGACCCTGGTGGGCTATAGTCCATGGGGTTGCAAAAAGTCAAACACGATTGAGCGACTAACATTGTTACCTTTTCAATAGAGAATTTGAACATTTCTTCCCATACTTGATGGATCTAAATCAAAAATCAAAGGGAAGCAAACTCATACTGAGTTCCTAATGTGTGTGTGTTATGTGTTGTATGCTTCCTGTCAACTCATTACTGTATTCTCATTTTCAAGATGAGAAAGCCAAGGTTTAGATGATTATGTCAACAGTCTAAGTTCACACTGGGATCCCTTTGTAATACAGCCTGTCTGACCCAAGCTCAAGATTAACACACTTCATTACTCTGGGCATTAGAATGGGTTAAATGGAAATTTTTTCCCTCTTGGCAGAAGCAAAGGGATTAGGTGGGGGAAATGAAGGCAACCGCATAGTTCTGCAATTTCCTCTAAGAAAAAAGAAATTGCTAACATGGTTTTAAGTAATGGGCAAGTAAGTTTGGTTGGGCCAACATCCTTCAGGTTCTGAGTCATTAAAATTCATTCCCAAACACTTGCTGTAAATGCTGTATGCACAGTATCCTGAAGAGACTATGAATGGTGGTGAAATAAATTAGATATGAACCTTGTCTCAAGGTACTTTCTATTCAGCTGAGGATTAAGTGAAAATAGCCACAATTCTGAGTGGCATGCAGGAAGGTGTAGACACGGGCTCAATCCTCCATAGGCACCTAGTGTCAGCTATCAAGGCTCAGCGCGTGCAAGACCAGGTGGAGGTCACCTTCAGTGATTTGTGCTGTTTTCAGTACCTTCTGGTTAAAAGAAACTTTCTGATGTTGTAAGTAACATGCAAAATAGATGTTGGAGAAAGTGAACCCTTTAAGATTTTCTTTTTTTTTTTGGATACAAACCATTTTGCTTGTGTTTTATATTTTGTTTTTTTGGCTATGAGGCCTGTGGGATTTTAGCTCCCCTACCAGGGACTGAACCTGCACACCCTACCTTGGAAGGCCATGTCTTAACCACTGGATCACCACATAAGTCCTTGAAACCTTTATTTTAATAAAAATTCTGGGATTCCCAAAGACACCAAAAGTAAACTAAAAAAAAAAACACTAAGATTGTGATGCATTTAAGGCTAGCTTCATATTAAGGCAAAAAAGAAAAAAAAAAAATAACGTGACCCCCCCATCCCTCGAAATGTTTGGTGCCAGTATTTGCCCTAAACCAGCTTGAGTGACTATAACAACCTGAAGTTGACACAGCCTTATGGAAAAAAAGTTCATTTGTTTCCTCAATTTACCAGCCTGCTTCCACCCACCAGTGCACACACATTAGGCTAAGGCTCCTCCCATGCAGACCGGTTGACCTGCTTCAGGAAAGAATCACCCCTGACAGTCCAGAAGAGGTAAATTATTGCACACTGGCATCTATCAGATCAGCGAATCTCTCTGATGTTCAGCAACCCTCATCCTTTGTCTCTCTTCTCCAATGATCTTCAGAGATGTTAAGGCAGTTATCGGGAAGAAAAAGATCATTTCAAAAACTCCCTGAGAAGTATGTACACTTTATTAGTAGCTTTCATTGAGACAGTTTTCCCCAATTTTATATCAATATGTGCAAAATCTCTGATGCAACCTGGAGAAGTAGACATTATTCCCATTTTATGGATGAGAAAACTGAAGCCTAGAGAGGTGATTATTACTACCTGACTGAGTTCACCAAGCAACTTAGCAGCACATCTAACACATGAACTCAGGCTGCTTAAGTCTAAAACCCATGTTTTTAAACCCATCATTTCAATATAAAGAGGGATACATTGGACTTTTGCAAAGCCCAGTTCATGAGGCTTCTAAAGCTGAAAAAATAGAAAATCATGCAAGAAAAAAAAAGTGTAGTAAAAATGGACTAGAAAGGACTTTCCTGGAGGTTCAGTAGCTAAGACTTTGCTCTCCCAGCTCAGGGGGTCAGGTTCAACTTCTGATCAGAGAACTAGATCCTTCATGCCATAACTAAGAGTTCTCTTGTCACAGTAAAAAGATCCTGCATGCTGCAACTAAGACCTGACACAGGCAAATGAAAAAATAAATAAAATATTTTCCAAAATGAACCAGAAGAATGGAAACAAGGGGTATCACAAAGGAAAAGGTAGCCCCTCCCTCCACATTTTTTTCTGAAGTCTTTAATAAATTGCTCGGGGTTGGTCCAGATGTCTTTTCTATTCCAAGGAGACCAAAACAGGGGATTGGTTTTAAACAGACTGTTAGATTAATGGATGAAATATACTGCAGTCCTAAATAGCTTTCATCATTTCATTATTTACAAATTCACTGAGGCCATGCATTGCCAGCTCCAGGACACAGGTCTCTTGGGTCAGCCCAGTAATGGCTTTGGGTGCCTCCAGACTAATCCATCTCAGGCACTGGATGACATTTATAAGAAAGTTAAAAAAACCTTTGGCCTAGTTAAAGAAACTCACGAAGTAGAAAATATAAATATACTAGATTTACATATACAGTTACAAAGGAAAATAGGAACATGTTAAAAAAAAGATGCACAGATACCATTCTGGGTGAGACAGCTATAGGATGGAGCCGTTAATGAAGAAATGAAAAAATTTCCCAGCACCACTGGTTAAGAAGTTTAGAAGTAGAGACCACCAGAGTTTTTGGAGAACAAATGATGCTTCTGAGTCCAAAGAAAATGAAAATTTAAGGCTGTATTGTGGAGTAGGAAATGGCAACCCACTCCAGTATTCTTGCCTGGGAAATCCCGTGGACAGAGGAGCCTGGCGGGTGGCAAAGAGTCAGCCACGCACGCAAGGGTATATTGCATGATTTAGCTGATCAGGTCAGCGAAAGTTGCAAATGGGAAGAAAAGAGCAAGACAGGTGAAGGGCAGAGGGGTCACAGGTATAGTCAGCAGAATAGTGAAATTCATTGCAGCTTAAGCCTGTGTCTCAGACAGAAGGTATTTGAACAAGTGAAATGTTTGCAGACCTCCATATGTAGATAGGATAAAAGTTAATAAGTAGATGATGATGCAGTTTTTTGGAAGTGAACCAGTTCCTGTTTTAATCAGCTAAGTATCTCCTTTGGCCAGGGGTGGAGACAAGAGGGAGCTAGCTTTCTTTCCTGTCTAAGCAGTCTCAAAGTATCCTCAAGGCTCTTCTGCTTCTTCCCTTATTTTATTCTCCCCCTTCCTTCCAGAACTCATTATTTTAACTTTAAAAGTATTTTCATTGTATATATGTACCACATCTTCCCTATCCATCCCTCTGTTGATGGACATCTTGGTTACTTCCATGTCCTGTAGCTGTTGTAAATGGTTCTGCAATGAACGTTGGGAACACATGTGTCTTTTTGGGTTGTGGTTTTCTCGGGGTATATACCCACTAGGAGGATTGCTGGCTCATATGGTAGTTCTGTGCTTAGTTTTATAAGGAGTCTCCAAACTGCACTGTTCTGTTCTATGGCTGTACCAGTTTACATTCCCATCAACAGTGTGAGAGGGTTTGCTTTTCTTTTTTTTTTTTTTTTGCAGTTTCTGAAAGGAAGATTTATTCGACAAGTTTCACTTAGCGCAATACACCTAAAAGGAAAACCACAATACAATGAAAAATTTAACTCAAGGCCTCAGAATTTCATACAAACACCAAGACCAAAATCCTAAAGTATTGGTATTGTGTGTCAAATTTCCCCCATTAACTTAAAAAATAGAAAGCTTAAACTTAAGTGCCATAGAGGTTATTAAATGAAACTAGAATTAACAAACATGCCAAATGTTTCACTTTTAATTGTAGACATAGCTGTTATATTGAGTTTTACAAAAAAGCATGTCTTTCAACATGCATCCAGACAGTGTTCAATATAATGTGATGTAAGAGCAACATTTAACATAATTCAACTGCTTTAACCTAAATACACTTACTACTTAAGTACATCCTACAATAGAACTAACCTGAGAAAAGCTGAAAATTTACCCAACTTAGTTGTTACATCCTAGCTGAATGTGTGTTCAAAAATACTGAACCTTAAGTCTTTAAAACAATCCTGATTTCCACTTAGAGTAAGCATAAATCACAAGCTTGTATTGCAAAACTGTTGAAACTTAAGTTTTTCTTTTAAAAAACATTGACCAAGGTCAGCGATCAGGATCGATCACATCCCCCATCCACCACTCATACTGGACATGCCAGACATCCCTCCCATTCCGTTCACGCCCACAGACGTTCGGCTCCCGCTGCTGAAGTACCTGCTGTTCACTGCTCCTTGGCTGCCTGCGCAATGTTTGATTGAAAATCACTGGAGTTTTCCTGTAAAACTTGGTCATATCCACTCATGCTGCTTTTTCCACCATAGCCACCTCCATAACCATCACTCAGCTGCTGGCTGGCCGGACCACCATAACTGGACTGGTTTGACAAGCCCATGCCTCCCATCATTTGGCTACCATAAGCACCACCGCTTGCTCCTGCTGTAGAATTCAAGAAGAGTTCTACATATCTGTGTTGCATATTTGCTTTGTCTTTTGACATAGCTGCCACAGCATCTTCATGAGTTGCAAACTCGATATCTGCTTCACCAGTTACTCTGCCATCAGGACCAATTTCAATATGTACTCTCACAGGGTTGAGTGGTGAAAAAAATTATAAATGTCATTCTCAGTAGCTCTGTAAGGTAATCCCCGCGTGTGTACACAGTGTCCTGTTGTGCTCTGGAAAGTAGAGCCACCATCCCCGTATCTGTGATCTGACATTCCTGAAAAACAGTAATTGAGGTCTCTTCCAAATCTATCTGACCCAAGTCCATAGCCATCATTATAGCCATTATAACCATCATAGCCTCCATAACCTCCACCATAAGCACCACGCCTCATCCTTTCAAAGCCAGCTCCTCTTCCAATGCTGTTATACCCTCTGCCAGCCCCAGGTCTGTCACAGGGACCTGGTCTCTACATGGCCATAAGTTTTCGTGGTGGATCATAGTGAGTTCTAACTTCAGCTCGACTGCTCTTAAAGATTTCGATATACCTGTGCCCTATTCTTTCCTGGTGTTTCTTTAGAGCCTTTTCAGCTATTTCCTGTGAAGCAAACTGCACGAAGGCCTCCCCCGTACTCCTCCCCTGGAAGTCCACCGGCAATGTTATCCCATTTGGCACGATTTCCAACCCTGAGAAGAACTGAACAATTTCTTCCTTGCTACATCCAAAGGGGAGTCCTCTAAGCCGTACAAAGCCATCATTGGCCGTGTCAGGACTATTTGGACCAGTATGCTTCAACACCCAATCCATTTCAACGTTGGTTGACTTGAATACTTCAACATATCTGTGTCCCATAGTTTCTCTGTCTTTTTTCAGGGCCAATTTGACTTCATCTTCTGATTCAAGTTCAACAAAAGCCTCGCCACTCGGTCTGCCTTCTCTGGTGTAGATGAAACGAATACCTTGAACCCCATTTTGAATTTTGCAGTCAGAAAAAAACTGCTGCACTTCGTCTGCAGAGCAAGACCAAGGCAAGCCCCGGACCTTCACCACGAACCCCTCACCGCCTTTGGTGCCCAGCATCATTGTCTCTTAGTGGGTGCTGGCATCGAATCAGACTGCTCACACAACTTCGGCGCGGCAGAGATGAAATGGGGTTTGCTTTTCTTCATACCCTCTCCAGAATTCATTGTTTGTAGATTTTTTTGATGATGGGCATCCTGACTCAGCCATAAAAATGAATGAAAATGAGTCACTTGGAGTGATGTGGATGAACCTAGAGCCTGTAGCACAGAGTGAGGTAAGTCAGAGCAGAAAGAGAAGAACAAATGTTGTGTATTACCGCATATATAAGGAATCTAGAAAAATGATACTGTTGAACCTATTTTACATCTGTGAAAGTCAAAGACTGCATTTGCTCATAATCCAAAAAAACAGAAACCAAATCAAAGCTGAACACTGAGACATGTATAAACTAGAAATGTTCAAAATACAAAAAAAGTAGAATGTTTTGATTTAAGATCTTTAAAAATAGATAGTAAATGTTTAGGTGAAATAAGGAGCTAAGAGCTACTTTGGATGCTGAAGAGTTTTCAGCTAATTTTTATGACTGCTGTAAGAATATACACACACACATATGACTCTTCCACACTCTTTGGGGCTATAAAGCCATACTTTCTAATTAGATGTATAAGACTTGGCTTGCTCAGAATTGGTTTTGGTTCTCAAGCAACTGATTTGTAGCAGCTGGGAGTTTTAGCACCCTGTGCTGTTGTTAGAACTACTAGCCTGACTGCTCAGAACCAGGCCTTGGGGCATGTTCTCCACCTTTCTTGCTTTGAGGGTTCTATATTGGATTGTTGGGCAATTGTTGCAGAGAGATATAGGATGTTCACAGGGATTCAAATCCAGTGTTTATTTAGCAATTATTTGATGAGTGTTTTAGAAGAGATAACTCATTTAATGCTCACAAAAGTCATTGGCATTAGGTACCCTTGGAGACTCCATTTGATAGATTAGGAAACCAGAAGATGTTTTACAACTAGTTATACAGTCATACAGCTAGTTAGTAATGACAATGAGATTTGAACTCAGATAGTTTGGAGCAAGCCCATATACATAAGTACTGCCTCCTACATAAGTGCCTGCAACACCCTTGTCCCCTGCCTCAAAGGAGAAAAATATTCCAGTTGGGGCATACCTTGTTTTATTAGACTTTGCTTTATAGTGCTTCACAGATACTGCATTTTTCACACATTGAAGGCTTGTGGCAACCTTGAATTGAGCAAGTCATGTCAGTATCATTTTTCCAACCACGTTTATTCATGTCATGTCTCTGTTTCACATTTTGGTAACTCTCCCTATATTTCAAACTTTTCCTTTATTATTATATTTGCTATGATGATCTGTAATCAGTGACCTTTTATGTTATCATTGCAAAAAAATTACAGTTTGCTCAAGGTTCAGATGATGATTATAATTTTTTAGCAATGAGTTTTTTTTTGCTTAAAGTTTCTATTTGTTTTTTTTAAATTAATTTTTATTGGAATATAGGTGTTTTACAATGTTTTACTAGTTTCTGCTATACGGCAAAGTGAACCAGCCACATGTGTACACATGTCCCCCTTTCATTGATTTCCTTCCCATTTAGGTCTCCACAAAGCCCTACATAGAGTTCTCTGTGCTGTGTAATAGGTTCTCATCAGTTATCTATTTTACACATAGTATCAATAGTGTGTATACATCAATCCCAATCTCCTAATTCATCCCACCCTCCCTTGGCCCGTGGTATTCATTCATTCGTTCTCTACGTTGGTGTCTCTATGTCAGGCTTTGCAAATAAAATCATCTATACCATTTTTGTAGACTTCACATATATGCATAATTCTGATGTCACTCTGTATGCCAGTCTCTAGGTCCATCCACTTCTCTGCAAATGGCAGAATTTCACTCCTTTTGGCAATGAAGTATATTAAAATTAAATTATGTATCCATATTTAACATAATATTACTCACACTTTATTGATTAAATTATAGTGTAAACATAGCTTTTACACACATTGAGAACCCCCCAAAAATTCATGTGACTTGTTTTAGGGAATATTTGCTTCATTGCAGTGGTCTGGACCTGAATCTGCAGTATCTCTGAGGTATACCTATGCTTCATCAGCCCCTGGAAAAAGGTGTTTTCTTGCTTTGTAGGCATGGAAAATAATTATAAGTGTGAAATGAGAGTGACATTCAGTAACTTATAAATACTGTGCACGGTTCATGCATGCTGAGTAACTTTAGTCGTGTCTGACTCTTTGCGACCTTAGGCTCCTCTGTCCATGGGATTCTCCAGGCAAGAATAGTGGAGTGGGTTGCCATGCCTGCCTCTAGGGGATCTTCCCGACCCAGGGATTGAACCCACTTCTCTTATGTTTCTTGCATTGGCAGGCAGGTTCTTTATCACTAGCGCCACCTGGGAAGCCCTGTAAATACTGACAGGGCCTTAAATATATTGCTTCTTATTCATTCTTCTAAGCCTTTGCTCTTAACATTTCCCCAGTCCACAGTTCCCTCTTTCTGCTTCCCTGGCTACAGAAACTTCTGGCAGGGGGTGGGGATTAAAGTCCACATCCCCTATTCCAAACTGGTTTATGTGATTTTATGTTGTTTCTCCCAGTCATGGACATCCTTGACACTTCGAGTTTGTTTCATTTAGAGACAGATGGATAAAGTGAAAAGGGCATTGAAATTGAAATCAGAATAATTGTGTTTAAGATTCAACTCAAACATTATTTGCTTAGTGACCTTCATCAGATCACATCTCTGAAACATCCCCTTTTTTCTTGCCAGTTTTAATAAGAAACAGATGTATCCATTTAGGAAACCATCTTTATCTAAGGATCAATCAAGATTACAAATGTAAAAGCATTTGTAAATTGTAAATGTGCTCTACAATGTGTACTATGGTGTTATTCTAGGCTCTTTTCCTCAGCTCCTGGAAATTCTAATTTTAGCACATTTATATTTTCTTTAACACCAAGCTTCATGTTTTGAGTTTAAGGGGTGCTCAATGAAATCCCAGGAACGGGGGAGCCTGGTGGGCTGCGGCCCATGGGGTCGCAGAGTAGGACACGACTGAAGAGACTTAGCAGCAGCAGCAATTAACATTTGCTGATTTGATTTGCAGATGAAGGTGGTTTTCCCCCCAGCCCCACCCCACAGGGAGCTATTTTTAGTTTTTTATACATATCCAGTTTATCTGCATTGGTACATTGACAGGTATTTTTTCTCAAGTTATGTGTCTCCAATTCTTTACATTTTGCCTTTCTGTTTTAGGAATATATATTTTCAAATGACAGGTGTGTGTGTGGGAATTTCTCCTTTTTGCAAACTTAAAGATGAGGGAGAATGAAAGAATAAGGTATAACATATAGAAGAAAAGATTGGATTCATGTTTTGGTGAGACAGAAACAGCAAACGAGAAGAAAAATTAAGGCTGGACTTGGTGTTTGTAGAGGTGGATTAGATGATGTTGAAAAGCTACCAATATTCTTCATTTTTTTGAGTGGAGATATGCATGATACCAGTTTCAATTCCTTGTGTTTGGATGGGATGGAGATTTTATGGGCCTCAATGGGGAGTTAATTTAATCCGGCCTATAGGATGAAGCTAACATATGGCCAGTTCCTCCTCCATAGTCCACGGCAGCTCCCCCTTCCTTTTATGGGGAAAGACCTGATCTTTTCTGTGTGTGTTGCAAAACAAGGGAGGCAGTTGGTTATATTCCTAAATGCTGGTTGCACTTTGTGGGCTGCTTAGAAACGGTTGCTAAGGTGTTTCCCATCCTTTCAGTTCCCTGCTGCCACCTGGGTTCTGAGGGACATCCCAGAGCTGCAGAAGGATGGGCTGATGGGCGGGTGGCTAGATTGCTGCTCAGCCTCACCACCTGGCTCCAGAACTGCTCCATCTGTCAGTGGTTCCGGGCAGCTGAAGAATCCAGCAGTTCAAAGCTCCACTCCGGGCTGCTTCTGAACATTTCTTTATTCTCCCAGGACCTGATATTCTGGCCAGGGAGAGGGCATCGGAACCAAGAGCTTCTCATCCCAGCAGCCCAGGGTGTACAGGGTTGGCAGCCAACAGGCTCCACGCTGTTTTGCTCCTTAGGAATTTGCATAAGAATTGTTGTGCTTATTTCTGTTCACTTTACCATTTTCTCTTTTCATGATTTGTCTGTGAGAAGTTTGGGATGAATTATAAATTTACTATCCAATAAAGCTTGGAGGTAATGTAAGGTGGTACTTCAGTCATGGCACAGATAAAAAAGCTGAGGGTTTACCTAGTAAATCTGAAAAGAAGAAAATGCTGTTAGTGTTGGAGGAATGTTAGCCTAGCAGATCCAGGGAGGCCCCTTTCTGGGAAACCGAATTGACACTTAGGCAGATGTATGTGCTGTCCGTTTCCAAGCCCATTTTAACAGTCAGGTTTTAAGGATTCCGATTACCTATCTGTGTTGTAGCTGCACAATGCAGACAGAGGAGCAAATGAGGTTCCTTTATTGATTTTCTATTTGTACCTAACAAACTCTCTCACACTTGACTGCTTAAACCACACACATTTATGCTCTCACAGTTCTGTGGTTTAGGAATCCAGGCTTGGCTGAACTTGGTCCTCACCTCAAGGTCTCACCAGACTATAATGAAAAGTGTCAGCTGGATTGTATTTTCATCTGAACGCCCAAATGGAGAGGCATCTACTTCTAAGCTCACTCATGTTGTTGTAGAATTTATTTCTTTGTGATAGTAAGACTCAGGGCTTCAATCTCTTGCTGGCTGGCAGTCAGAGGCTTCTTTTAGCTCCCTGGGGCCCCGTACCATTCATTGTCACTTGATCTCCTCCACGCATTCTCTGGTAGCATGGCTGCTTGCTTTTTCAAAGTCAGAGAAAAAGAGACTGAGTCTACTAAGACAGAATCTTATATAATATAACATGATCATGAGAATGACTGGTGCCATATTTTATTGACCAGATGCAAGTCTTGCCCACAAAAAATGGAAACCAAGAGGTGGGAATCATGGGCTACCCTAGAGACTGTC